TTTGATGTATTGTACACATTTGATATTCAATAAATAAAGTATGTATTCTATATATCATCAAAGAGTTTTATATCAAATTCTTTTTATTTATATATAGTTTCTACGAGGGTCAATCTGATGGAGGAGGAATTATGCCTAGTGGATAGTGGTACCACTAATTTATATTTAGAGAAACAAAATATTTCCAAACTCTTACAAAAAGACAAGGAAATGTTTTGATAATCGTCTATGCTGATGTTATAATAGTTGGCTCGTCGTACACTATTGTACTTCCCATGGGTACCCAAATTACAATTGAGGATGCATTATTGTATCCCGATTCAAAGCGTACCTTGTTAAGTTATAGAGATATCCATCAAAATGGTTTCCATATAGAAACCCGTGATAACAATAATGAGGAAATTCTCCTTGTTACTAAAAATAGTAGATATGGCAAACGAATTATTGAGAAAATTCTCTCTTTTCCGTCAGGTTTGTACTACACATACATCAAACCCGTACCGCATGTTGCGTACAAGTTAATTTTTCAGAATGTTGACGCATTCAAAATTTGGCATGAACGCCTTGGCCATCCTGGTATAGGGATGATGCGAAAAATTATCAGCAATTCTAAAGGTTATGAGTTAAATACTGCTAAATTCCTAAAATCTTCAGATTTTATGTGCACTTCATGCGCTATAGGGAAATTGATCGTACGACCATCGTCCATTAAGATCCAAAATGAGCCACTAAAATTTCTTGAACGCATTCAAGAAGATATTTGTGGCCCCATACAACAAATGTCTGGACCGTTTAGATACTTCATGGTTCTAATAGATGCATCTACTAGATGGTCTCATATGTGTCTTTTGTCCACACGTAACCATACATTTGCAAAAATTATTGCTCAAGTTATTAGACTTAGAGCACATCATCCCTAACATCAAATTCAATCAATTGAATGGACAATGTCATTGAATTTTCCTCAAAGGCTTTCAACGATTATTGTATGGCTTTGAAAATTCAAGTTCAAAGACTCTATCCCATATGTCCATACACAAAATGGTTTAAAGGTATATCTTATTAAGATAATTAAACTCATTGCAAGACCGTTATTACAAAATTGCAACCTACCAATTTTATATTGGGGTCATACAATATCCTACACATCATTGACTTAATTCAATTGCGACTAACCCATATATCACGTAGTCTCTATTGCAATTAGTACGGGAATATGCCAAATATTTCTCATCTCAGGAAAAATTGGGCCATACCAGATACGCACTCGATCTCACCGCTAAGTTGCATTTCTATGGGCCCACATAGGAAACTTAATATCTATGTGGGATATCAATCCCCATCAATTATCAACTACCTCAAGCCTCTTACAGGGGACTTATTCATGGCCCGATACGCTGACTGCATATTTAATGAGGACCATTTCTCGGTATTAGGGGGAGATTTCAAGCACCAAAACGAATGCCAGAGAATTATCCGAATGCCCAAGGCATTCTCGCATCCATGTACTCTAGAGACCCACCAACAAGTTCGAAAATCATAAACTTGCAACATATTGCAAATAACCTGCTAGAAGCATTTACTGATTATAAGGGTGTCACTAAATCCTCTTATCATGCTCGCAATGCGTCCGAAAGAGTGTAGGTACCAATAAAAACCATTCAACTCCCACTTTTAAAGAAGAGGGGGAGAAGTACGGCCACTCCTAAGGATAATGCTACAAGTAAGCGTTCGAGGATATCGAGAGCTAAATCCTCTAAATCAGTAAATTCAAGCCAATCTCAAGTTGGTAGACACCCAATAGTGGATAAAAATCCAACATCAGAACCAAATCCACAACCCAGATCAACGGTGCATCTAAATTCTGATCCTGGGATATCGGAACACCTTGACTCTATAGTTTTGGGAAATGTTGAGTCAAATAATGGTGAAAGAAATTTCCATCAATTACATAGATTCTAGAGAATCATACGATCGTAAGATCATCGTTGTCCACATGTACTTCTCCACAAAGAATTGCAGTAAATCTTTCTCAATGATCCAGATCCCAAGACCATGGCAGAGTGCAAAAGCGCGCTTGACCGGGCTCAATGGAAAGAAGCAATTCGTTGAGATAACTTCGCCAAAGAGAAGAGGGGTATTCACATCTGCAATACCTACACCTTCCAAAGTCTTTCCCAGTAGGCTTTAAATGGGTTTTCGTCCTAAACGGAATGAGAACAATGAGGTGGTGAGATATAAAGCGAGGCTAGTAGCACAAGGGTTCACGCAGAGACCCGGCATTGATTACAATGAAACCTATTCTCCAGTAATGAGTGGAATTACTTTTCGATACTTAATATCATTGGTAGTTCAAAATCATCTATCTATGCAGTTGATGGATATGGTGATAGCATATCTATATGGGTCACTTGATTTGGACATATACATAAAGGTTCCCGATGGAATCCAAATTCCGAATCCAAACGCAAATCGCAACATGTATTGTGTAAAACTACAAAAGTCATTATATTGCTTAAAGCAGTCGAGACGAATGTGGTACAATCGACTGAGGGAATTCCTTCTAAAGAAAGGATACACTAACAATGATGATTACCCATGTGTTTTCATTAAGAAATCTCGAACGGGATTTTGTATTATATTCATGTATGTTGATGATTTAAATATCATTGGAAGCCCAAAGGATATAGATGAAGCACGCAAACATCTAAAGAGGAAATTCGAGATGAAGGATTTGGGTAAGACCAAATATTACCTAGGCTTACAACTTGAGCACAGTTCTTTAGAGATTTTAGTGCATCAATCAACCTATATCCAGAAAATATTGGAGAAAATCAATATGGATAAATCATACCCTAATAAAACTTCGATGGTTGTTCGTCTTTAGAATAGGAAAGATCCATTTAGACCACGGGATATTGGGGAAAAGATGTTGGGACCAGAGATCCCCTATCTCAGTGGTCATTGGCGCATTTATGTATCTTGGCAAATTGCACCAGCTCGATATCGCATTTGTAGTGAACTTTATCGGCTAGGCATAGTGCGGACCCAACTCGCGTCATTGGATCGGAGCGAAGTGTATCCTCGTGATACCTTAATGGCACAAAGGATCTTGGTTTATTCTTCAAGAAAAATCATGATCCCAGTATGATTGATTATACTAATGCAGGTTACTTATCTGATCCTCATAACGAAAAATCCCAAACAAGATTTGTATTCCTACATGGAGGTATAGCTATTTCATGAAAGTCTTCTAAGCAGACTCTAACAACGACTTCTACTAATCATTCTAAAATTATTGCTCTATACGAGGCATCACGAGAATGTGTATGGCTTCGCAGAATGATTAACCACATACAACAGTCATGTGATATTGGTTCAATTGAATCACCTACAATTATCTATAAAGATAATTCCGCTTGTGTTACACATATGCAATCAGGTTACATAAAGAGCAATATCACTAAGCATATTGTTATTAAACTGCTTTATCCTCATGAATTACAAGAAAACGGAGAAATAAACATCTTGCAAATCAAGTCATGTGATAATTTTGCTAACCTATTTATTAAGTCCTTACCAACTTCTGTGTTTCAAAAATTGGTACATGGAATTGGTATGCGGCGACTTTGAGATTTGCCAGAATCAGGGGAGACATCTCCTAAATGTTGACCTGTACCAGCATCATATTATACTATTTTCTTTCACAAGTTTTACTTACAAGGTTTCTTGTTAAAGTTTTTAATGAGGTAATGTTAACATAAGCATGTGTCATATTTCTAATTTTCCCCACCGGAGTTTTTGTGGGAAATATCAAAGACACATATTGCCCTCACAATTCATCCATGGTTTTTTCCCGAAAAAGGTTTTTCATGTGAGTTATCTAAGAGACAATACCAATAATATGTCGTCATATTTTCTCATAATTTTCCCACTGGGGTTTTACAGGAGTTTTAGCGACATATCACTTTATATTGTTCCTCATATTTTTCCTGAAATGGTTTTTTGGTGAGTAATCTATATGTCGTATCTCCTATATTTTTCCCCACTGAAGTTTTTAATGGGATACCAATGACATAATGATTTATTTAAATCATACTCATATATGCTATTTTCTCCTTATTTTCCTATAAGGTTTAAAGGAGTTTTTACAGTATATCTATACATACATATTTCTCAGATTTTTTCCACAGGTTTTTTCGAGGAATTCAAGCATACAGCTATATTGATCTCAAAGAAGATTCGATAAAGAGGAAGTGTTACGAAACGGTGCTTGCCAACAGACACCTATTTATCAGTTATCTCATCCAATTAGATGTGCAATTAGAGATAGGATTAGAGATTAGATTTACATTAACTGTGTCACCGAAGGGACATGCCTCTTGGTGACGAAATGTAACTTCTCCTGTCCGTTGTGTCCTTTGGACACATCCTTTCACTTGTATATATATATATCTAAGAGATAAATGAAAGCAACGGTTGTTCCTAAATCATTGTTTATTTTCATTCACTTTTAACACAATCGATGCATACAAATACACTTTTTTTTCTCCCATTGTTTGACCATGCTCAGGTGCCAAGTTTTGGCTTGGCTCACCAGCGTTACAGGCAATAGCCCTGTGCCCCTATCCCTGCTCATCCACGTCTGCAGTCTGTTCGGTTGACTGGTTCGTTTCGTTGCTGGTTTGTGAAGAACTACCGTTGACTGATTTATGTGAGAAAAAAAATACGATTTTGACTAAAAATTTATGATCATTTACGATAAGCGACGGCCAAACGAAGAGGCTGCTAGATTCTACAGCTACTGCATCGCACTGCGCATCGGACGGGCGTGTGGGCGCGGGAGTCGAGCTGCGCGGCCGGGCCCGGCTTCTCTCGGGCCCTTGTGCAGATGCGCAGAGGTAGCGTCCCCTAATTCATTTGTCACCAAACTTTGCACCCGCCTCCCCCGTACCCGTCCGAAACCCTAGCCTACCTCGTCGGCGGCGGGCCCTCCGGCGATGGAGGTGGAGGAACCGCTCCCAACGTCCAAGAACCCCCGCCGTGCTCGGCGCCGGGACCTCAACGCACTGGTCAGACTCGCCCCGTCCCTCCTGTTCTGTTGTTCCTGATCCTTTTATCGCCTTTGTGATCCTGAGCGTAGCCTTCGATATGTGCTAACTTATCGGTGTGGGGAAATTTCCATTTCCTTCCTTGATTCGAGGTGTGGCTGCTCAGGAACGATTCAGATTTCATTTTGAGCTCTAGTCTAGAGTGGGCGGGCAGACAGTGGTTGTCATTTAGGGTTTGGATTTGATTGATTCTCATTTGGTTTTGATGGGTAGTTATTTCGTATTTTAACTCTATTTTCGTGACTTGGACTAGCATTTGTTTTTTCAGTAAGCGGTCTAGTGTCTAGTAATTCTGTATTTCTGTTCATCACTGTGGGCTTGAGGTTCTAATTAGGATCCATTTCTGTTCTAATAAAGTTGTAGCCTTTGCTTTGGAGGCATTGATAATAGCACAGCTTAGTTGGATGGTCATTGGAGCATTTACCAGCAGTTGAAACCAAATGTTAATGTCATGCCATCCTGAAATACCTACATTCAGGAGACGCGATTTGCTCACAGTCACTCATGCTGTTCCTATGTTTTAAAAAGTTAATTTTAAGTTGATTTCACTTTGTATTAGCTTGAAAAACTTAAAAATTTCTGTAGTTTGCAATGTAAGTGGTTTCATGATGAAGTTTTTTTTAGGATCCTGGCATGGAGGAGTCCATGGGGAGGATATTGGTGTTCCAGAAGTTGGCATGGTGTTCAATAATCACACAGAAGTCAACCGATTCTACATAAGTATGCCCGCCGTGTTGGCTTTGGTGTCTCAGTAAGGAGGTCCTCGTTCTCACAAGAAGGGACCTGCTTATATCTCGAGCTTATGTGCTGCAAAGGAGGGCGGCCAACGTTATGAGCCAAAGTTTCGAAACGGGCTTCATCAACCACTAACTGCCCAGCCAAGATCCGAGTGAAGTTGTGGGGAGATAAATTGTTGCATGTAGAGTTGGCGATCCTCGATCATAATCATCCAGTGAGCCCAGCAATGGCAAGGTTTTGAACTCTTATAAGCAGCTCTCTGGCCCCTGCGAAGAAGCGGTTGCGTATGGGTGGCCCTGGGCTATGCCTGTTGAAGAGTCAAGCAAGATGCCCATGGATAAGCTGGGGAGCTTGAGCAGCTTCTTTTTGGCGAGAGCAAGCACCACAGCTTTGTGGAGAGGGTCGTTTGAAGCTCCAACCTGAGATTCGGAGGCCCTTCGGCTTTTCTTCACTCGGATGCAGGCCAAAATGCCAACTTTTTCAATGTCATTGACCTGGACGATGAAGGCTGTACCAGGAATGTTTTCTGGGCAGATGCACGGTCAAGAGCCATGTGTGAGTACTATAGTGATGTCATCACACTTGATACGTCATATGTGGCTAGTAAATATGATATCTGTCTTGCAACATTTATTGGGGTGAATCATCATGGACAATCTGTCTTGATGGGGTGTGCCCTGCTTTCTGATGAAACAGCAGAAACCTATTCATGGCTACTTAAGGCTTGGATTGCATGTATGTATGGCAATCTTCCCAAGGCTATTGTCACTGACTATTGTAGGGGCATCCAAAGTGCTGTAGCTGAGGTTATTCCGGGAGTCCGTCATAGAATGTGCTTGTTTCAGATAATGAGGAAGGCCGCAGAATGTTTAGGTGGGCTGTCAGAGTACAGAGCTATCAACAAGGCGATGCATAAGGCTGTGTATGATTCTTTAACCATAGATGAGTTTGAAGGGAATGGAATACTTTAATTACATATAGTGGGCTTCAGGGCAATGACTGGCTAAGATCACTTTATGAATGCCGATCTTCATGGGTTCCTGTTTTCATTAAAGATACATTTTGGGCAGGAATGTCTGCTACACAAAGAAATGAAACAATTACTCCTTTTTTTGATGGATATGTTGATTTAAAAACCACCTTGAAGCAATTTCTTGGCAAGTATGAGATGGCTTTGCAGAGTAAATATGAGAAGGAGGCCCAAGCAGATTTTGAGACATTTCATAAGCAACGTCCACCGTATCAAAATTCTATATGGAAGAGCAGCTCTCAAAGGTATACACGCATAATATGTTCAAGAAGTTCCAAGATGAGATTGAAGCCATAATGTACTGCCACGTATCTTTAATTGGTGTTGACGGGCCTGTCTCCACATTCAATGTCAAGGAGTGCATTTTCCTTGAAGATGGTAAAAGGACCATGAGTAAAATTTTTTTGCAGTGACTTACAAATGGATGAAAAGAATATTAGTTGTATATGTGGAGGTTTCCAATTCAGTGGCATACTATGTAGGCATAGTCTCTCCATGCTCAAGTTTCAACTGGTTCGTGAAATTCCACAACATTATATTCTTGATAGGTGGAAAAAGGATTTTAGACAGTTGCATGTGAAGAGACGCCTCCAAGCGATCTTGTCCCCAACAATCGCATGGATCGATATGACTATATATCAATGAGATGTTTGCAACTTGTTGACTCTGCAGTCCTATCAGATAAGTATCGCCTTGCTTTGAGGTTGGTAAGGGAGACAGAAAAATTTCTGCTAAATAGCAACACACATGATGATACACAACCAAGGATCAAGTCTCGGGTTCCTAAAGTAAATAAACCAAATACAGTGACTGGTCAAACCGTGGTGGGTGCAGCTACTGAAACAGAAATGATGGTCTCAAAGGACCAGAGGTACCGGTTAAACCTATAATAAATCTTATATACACATGTTTGCTTGTAAGCTTTGTGGAAATTAGAATCGATAGTCCATATGATTTGCTTAAATGGGTTGTTTTTTGCAATATGCAGGCTCCAGCAGTCATGCAAGTACCGCCAAATCTAAAAGGTAAGATTGCACTAAGCATTAGTTAATTTTATATCCTTAGTTGACACATCTGGCTCTGAGGATATTGATTAGTTTATAAGACTATATGCTTCCAATATCAGAGACCTCCTTAAAAAGAAGATATTGATTGGTTGCTATTTTTACTCCAGGGAGGGGCAGAAAAGGAATAGTTCCTACTGGCTACATTGGAGTACCAGCTAATATCCAGCAATTTGTAGGCAATCAAGCAGCATTTCAGCCAAGCATTGTGTACATGGTACCGGTATGTCAGAACAGATGGTCATATATGCTGACTCGTATCTTTTGACTAAATCCCACAGGCACTAGAAAACCAAATTTCCATGATACGAAAATAGTATGGCGCCCAGGGGTGCTGGCGCCCTCCTTATCTGGAGTCGTTGCCTGGCATCACTGAGATTTGTTTTGACGACAGGCTGTGATGGTGTTTCTTCCTCCACCTTCTTCCTCCTCGCCTTGCGTTCCTCAGCTTCTGTCCGTGTCTCACCATGAGCACAGCCCTCCCCATGAGCGCCACGTCCGTGATGTGCCCAGCCTCACATTCCTCCGCTCCTGTCCAAGGCTAGCTTCCCCATGAGCACACCCTCCCCCATGGCGCGCCTCCTCCTGGCGTGCCCTCCCCCCTGAGCGCATGCACCTCTCCATGAGAGCGCCCCTCGTTACTGTGAGCGTGTCCCTCCTCCCCCATGAGCGCTGTGTCCATGACTGAGTGCCGGCCCATGATCGAGGTCAAGCGGCTGTGCAAGAAGCCAGTGGATCCGCGCCTCAGTCCTCCCCCGTGATGCGGCAGCTGGAGCTAGGAGGAGACTGGGAGGCGCAAAGGAGGTCACAAGGAGCAGGCCCATGGCTAGCATGCTTGTTGGCGGTGTGAGGAAGATGATCGGTGGTGCGGGCTGTGTGTGGCGCAGTGGCAGTGAGGAAGAAGAAGACGGCTCCATTATCTGTGTTTTCTTCTGTTTATTTCTACTAAGACGTCCGCTCCAGATAAGGAGGGTGCCAGCCTCCCTTGGTGCCAAATCCGTACTCTTCCAGGATATTTGGATGCTTTTCTTGCATATTAAATCATGGAAATTTGGTTTTCTATAGTTGGTAAAAAAAATTGAATCTTCTAACAAAAAATAAATCATATATCACTCCGTTCCAATTTCCAAATTGTAAATCATTTTGGCTGTTCCAGATACATAGTTTTTGCTATGTATCTAGACAGCGGATGCACAGCAATGTGCCTAGAAAATCCAAAACAACTTACAATTTGAAATGGAGGGAGTACTTATTAACCGCTAATTGTTCTTTATTTTCAAGTTTTTTCTTTATTATTTTTACTTTGAGGCAGATTCTATTCTGTAGGAATATGCTACTGACTGTTGCTGATTTAAAATTTCAGAGTGGTGTTGACCCACATGCTTTTGGAAATGTTCTGATGCCGGTGATGTACCAGCAGATGTTCCAGGTTTGAGTTTATGTTTGTTTGCAAGTTCTATTCATCTTGCATGGACTTTTTTTTGGCATAAATTGATGGCATTCAATGGCACGGTGGTATGGCTAGGTGCCTCCGAAGCCAAATGAGACCGTGCAAGATATTTCAGCGAACGGAAAAAGTAAGCGACCTCGTGGTCAGAAGCTCACAGAGACATCTCAGCAGGCAAATGGAACCCCAGCATCTGCATCTGGCTAGGGGGGGACTGCTAACATTTGGAACAGGTTTTCCTGATTTACTCCTAATACTTGGTATGCTTTGTTCAACTATAGTCACCTCACCTGAGTTGTGGCAACTGTATTTGTTCTTCCCAGGATTTCTGTACATACGTTGACTTCCTGCCGTGAGAAATTTTACATATGGACGCCGGCACTAACAATTACCTCAATGTGATCCAAGGTATCTGGCCCAGGAATGGAAATTTAGTTCACACATTTTTTTTTTTTTTGCTGATTTCAGCAAGACAGGTTGCACTCGGGGAATATCCAGTATCCACGGTTCTAGTGTAATGTGCAAGTCCCCGTGTCCTTTTTTATGATATGTAAATGATTTTTTTTTTGGAATAGCTCTATGGCTCATGAGTACAGTGTCAGTTGCCTTTGAATTCCCATTGTCGATGCACCAGATCGATTTTCTAATGCATATAGAAATATAAAGCATGGAGGGTGGAAGCGTTTCCTGACTGTGGCCATTGTGTACTTTGGCAACAATCATGGAGCAAGACATGCCAAAGCAGAGCTCTATTGGAAATTAAGTTATTCTCTCGATATTTAAGACAGAGCTAAATAATTCAAAACTAATAAACCTGTCATAAATGTGAAAAATGTGCTCTTTGTTTCTAATTATAGGCCTTTTTGTTTTTTCTAGAGATATACTCTCTCTGTTTTAAATTGCAAGTAGTCGTGACTTTTTTAGGTCCATAGTTTTTGCTATGCATTTAGATATATATTGTAAAAACTATGAACTTAGAGAAGTCAAAACAACTTACAATTTGGGATAAGGATATGTATAATGTATCTAACATAGTGGTGGATATGTATCTAGAAAAGCCAAGATCTATAATTTAGGAGTTAGGATAGAGAAGTATGTAATACAATTTACTAATAATTTGGGACAGAAGTAGGTAATATAGTTTACTCTTAGGGATCTTGCAACATGTAGTCTCAAAAATTTAGAAGTTGGAAAGAAAGAAATAGTGCATAGTGATATACTGGTGTTGTATTGGATTGCTCAAGGTTCTTAAGGATATTAGAAGATTGGTGAACAGGTTCCGACACAAAAGAAATGAAAAAGGAAAAAAATTGAATACTCCAAAAACTTTTACAAGCTGCAGAATGCGACATTCAATTACTTCACTGCACACAAGCGCGTTCGGCTGGTATAGTCTTGGCTTGTTTTAGCTTATTCTCTCTCACAGAATATTATTCAATCATCTAAAACCAACCGAAATCTACTGTTGAGCACACCATCCGAACGCGCTGACAGCGTGTAAATGTAGGGGCCAACTTCCCATGCCCGAGTTTCCTGATCGCCCATTTTGGTCCAAATTCACAATTTTAAATTTCAACTTATGAAAATTGACTCCAACCACGTAGGCATGTAGACAACAGATCATAATTGGTCATAATAAAATCAGCTAACACCATAATGATTCCATAAACTTTATGGTCAATAAATTACCCCAACATCCACCAACCATTACTTATGAATTTAAATCAGATTCAATATTTCGGGATTGCATAGTACCATAACAATTGATTTGTATTTTCCACGTCCATAGCAGCCGGTGAAATTTCGGTTGCAATTTACTTGCCAAATCACAGCACCGCGCCTAACTAAATGCATGTCAGCATGAGCATCTCTACAGCAAGTCTATACCCTTACTAATTGGAAGTCACTATCAAAGTCAGCCAAGAGGCACAAAAAATGGCCGTATTGCCTTTCAATACATATGATACTGCCGTTAGGTAGCTGAGGTCTCTTGAATTTTCTGAGTTCTGACTGCTGAAATAATATATATAATAATAGGCCACCTATCTAAACGAGTGCGATGTTTCCGAATACTCTTCCAGCTACTGCCGTGCTTCCTCTTCCTCTTCATTGTTCTCTGTTTGGGATGCTAGCTTCACAATATCTTCAACAAGGATCTTTCCTTCTGAAGGCGTGCATAAAGAGAACGTTCAGAAAAATACAAGAAAATTGGACAGATGTAACACTGGAGCAGCATGTAGGTGTCATGGGTAAACGAACCTTTGTCTTTAGAAAGGTTGCTGATGAGCTCTTGCACGCCTTCTTTCCCTATGGTGTCCTTGAGATAGGCTGCTGCGGCCGCCACCTCTTCAGGTGTCACTTTGCCATCATGGTCCCTGAAAATTGTGTGCAAATTGGATCATAATGCTGAGGACTATGTGCAAAATGGTTATGGTGGCAGATTACAAATGACTTCTCTGTTTGATAAAGTAGGCCATCCCACATATCTTAGGATAATAGGAAGCAGCAACCATGCTTTTACAGGGACTCCACAAGGAAGATGAGTTTACGAACTAGTGCATTTCATAAAACAATCATCTGAATATGGTTAGGTAGATCACAGAAACACCTGACACAGAACTGTGTTTTGACAGGGCAATAGAGTTACCGCCAATTGTAAATTAACAAAAAATAGCATTAAGTTTCCCTATCAGGGAGAACTCAGTAACAAAATGCACACAACATAAAAAGATCCATACATACAAGTGACTTACTTATCAAGCAGTTGCCAACGATTACCAATTTGTGCATCCACATCATCAATCTCCTTTTCTAATTCTTGGAGCATAGCATCAACCTGAATGCAGCAAAGGTCATAGTTATATGTGATTCATGTGAACAGCAAACCCATGAATCATAAATATTCAACCAAAAAAGGGATATAATAGCATACATATGCCAACAACATACTGAAGATACAAAAGCATGCGGACGCTTGTTTCCTTTGCAGCACTTTTAAAATGCCAAAAGAGGTGTTCAGTTCAGGTAGGCTTTCTAAGATTACATCATCAGAATGAAAATCAGAGGCCTTTTAGTTACCAAGTCTTGTCAAATAGACCTTAGTTACAATTTGCAAGTAAAAGTTTGCACTCTTATCTCCAACTTTTAGATATTTGTTTATAGTTTTCACTGTCGATATTCAAGGCTATTTAGGCAGCATAGTTCCAAGAGTAGTAGCAACAAAATATGGGAAATATAAACAGATTTTAGGTAGACACTGCTCAACTACGGGTCATGCCCGAAGGATGCCCCAAAGGATTCCTTACCTTCTCAATAAGTGCTGATGAGACTTTTTCTTCTGCAGCATCCTCAGCATGACGGTCTGATTCCTCTCTAGCAGCTATGTATGCTCTCTTAGCTTCTTCTTCACCCTCTGTACCCTCCTTTTCAAGCATTGAGTTGTATAGTTCTATCTGCATGCGGGCAAAAGTCCTATTAAATATCCAGTGTACATATTTATATATGCAATACCATGAAAGATGCCTGCATGAGTATTTGTTTGTCTAATCTACTTCATATTATACCTCCTTGTTGACAAGTCCCAAGAACTCCTGACGCTCCTTGCTTACAGACTGCAAATACAAGTTACAAAAATGATCAAACAGAGAGGATGGAATGAGGAGACACTAGTGTTCCATAGCTACACTGTTGTTACTGTCAACGTGTATAGTTACTAAATGAAAATACTGATTGTATAGGAGCATACCGATGCAGATGCGAGCACTGCCAATGCTCTCGCCGATATTACAGAGTTTTTTCCTGTCGTGTTGTTTTGCCTTTCGCAGTTCTTCCCTAGCAGTAGCCTCAGTCATTTCTTTCAAAGCTAAATCTTCAGCAGCACCCTCTGGTTCTTTGAGCTTTGTCTTTTCCTCTTCCTCTTGTTTTGCTTTTTCTTCTTTCTCCTTCCTTTTCTCTTCCTCCTGAATATATTTTTGCATTAAAAATCAATAATAGATTTGCAGCATTACGTTAACAAAATAAAATGATTGGGTTAAACATAAAAATACATGTTCCGACAAACATAGGATAATTATCAAGTAAAATGTGTTTGCAGATTTGTGAAAGAGAACAAATCTGCTATAATTACAGTGCGAGTCTTTAAGTACTCCAGATAAGATGGCAGCATTGGGATTAGAAACTACACAAACTGGAAGCATGCCTCGAGTTACAAACTTACAATACAGGCAGGGATATCAATTATGAAATCTAATTTGTAATAACATTTTCATTTCAGATTCTTTAATCGAACATCTTCTCCCTAACCATGAAATTGCATAAACCACGTAATGAGAAACTTTAATGGATAGGGACTAGATAGATTCCTTTGAATATGAAGGGGTTCTAGTTCAATTCCCTACCGATTCCATGAGATTAAACCTAATCTCTATAATCGAAACAAAGGCTAAGTAATTGTGCTCATCTGAACATCTAACACGTGACAAAGATATGAACAGGATCTCCTATGAAGTTTACACATAGCATCCAATTAGGGATTCGATCATGATGTATAACTAGGGAGCAGAAACATATGGAATAACAATGCACGAAAGTAGGAATTCTGAAACAGCGCATTGGGTTAGATAAAATTAAATATGTGGCTTAACTCTAGCTTTTTCGACTAATAATAAAACATAGGTTACAAACTACAAGCCAGCAGGTACACATTCAGTGGAGGAAAGTTCTCTATCAGCTTATCATTACAGTGGTTTTATGTCCCCAAAGATTATGGCTGCATTGGCACAATGGGAGGTTAAAAAAAACACATCGTTTAACTATTACAATCTATATGCTATCTCTAGAGAAATAAAAAGATGCATATGTACACGTCACCTTGATAAGTTCTTCTTGCATCTCAAGGAATTCAAGTTTTCTCCTCCTCTCAGAAACTGAATCTTCAGATGGCAGTACTGTCCCAACTGTATCCACAACTTCATCCGGTAGTGAAGATAGTGTTGCTACAACAGCTTCCTCAGGCTTCACTTTCCCAGATACAGTAAAAGCTCTGACATAATTACCAAACATAAGAATGCAAGCATAGCATGACAACTGGGAAAATGTTTACTAAATTTACCTTGAAAGTATGAGAAGTGAAGATGGCACTGCATAGTTTAGTGAGAGATCCAACCAGTCTCGAAGCTGGCAAAAATGATGAATGTTACTAGCATAATTTTATATGCATTTATATGGCATTAGTTATTTTTTTTCTATATAAACAGTTGCCTTGAACTTGCAGTTAAACTCAAAGCCCGTGCAATCCCTCAATATCAGTTGTGTTTGATTGAAAGCGCAAGCTAAGTGCTGTCATAACATTTCCTCAACAGTACATCAGACTTGAAAAATGTAACAATGTAACAAGGACATAAAAGTGTCAACTAAAAAAGATTAAAGAAAAAGATGATATTTACTAGGAAACGTAAACATGGCACTTTATAGCTCATATAGGTGCTTAAATGCAGCTATGAACTAAGAAAAATATCATGTATTCTTGGGAAGAACACAAAACAGGACCTACATGGAAATGGATGGAGCATAGCCCAACTCTATCATAGGAATACAGGATGACTACTCCATTCCATAGTATAACGAGTTAAGGTAGGGGCTGATCTAGGAAATCAATTCAGTGGGTGCCACCAGTCAATTATCTTGCTAAAGCAGTAGCCTATGAGTTGCATAATGGTAGTGTTACAAAGGTAATTCCTCAAGCCACTGATGTCACAGGACACCACTGATTGCACTGTGGATCTGCCCCTGAGTTAAAGGTGTTGCTGTCTTTTTTTTTCTTTTTCTCTAAAATGACACAGGAGAGCTGAGTGTCATTTCATTAAAGAGAGAATACAAGTTACATACACGCCACATACAATAGAGACTCAACCACGTCCAAACAGACCTTGACGTAGGTGTCAAGGTTAAGCGACCTGATGAGTAGTTCATGGACAGCTGACGAACCAGCCAAACACCACAAACTACTCTCATTTGCCACTGCCTGTAAGACTACTGAAATACAAGGCCTAGTACCCCTCAGACACACAAGCATTGAGATGTTTCCGTATCTCCCTAACCACAAGGATGGTGAGGGAATTCAGCCCTTTCTTTCTGGCTTTTGGAAGTCTAAAATTATTGCATGTCATAAGATTAAGTGGGCAAACCTGCTGTCTCATCTCTTCAGTTGACAGTAGACCTAGGTGACCACGTTCCCGACAGGTTTGCAGAAGCTCCTCTTCAGAAAGAGACTCCACACCCTCAGCTTGAATCATCTTATCATCATTCTTAATGCTGCAAAGACAGTTCAAAATTCAAATGGTAGCATATTAAATCAAACAGAAACAAGACAAAGGGCAAAAGAACTAGCAAATTGTGAAACAAGAAAAGAATCGTGATGCTATATCATTTATTTATTTATTTTTAAAAAAGGTGTACTGCTGAACCTGAACTACTATTCGACCTAAACACCACTTAAATCCATTTCAGAGATTTCTAAATTCTGGTAAGCTTGCACATCCAGTGAATTGACTAATATGAAATATTTACTTGAAACTACTTAATGTAAAGATAGGCCACAAGCCTCATCACAGTTTGATCTACAAAATTGAACATGTTCAGCAGATAAGTGTCGCGGAAATGCGTATGTTGCGTTGGATTTGCGGTCATACAAGAAGGGATCGAGTTCGGAACGATGATATACGTGATAGATTAGGGGTAGCACCAATTGAAGAAAAGCTTGTCCAACACCGGTTGAGATAGTTTGGACATGTCCAACGTAGACCTCCAGAGGCACCGGTGCATAGTGGAATCCTAAGCCAGGATAGTAACGTGAAGAGAGGCAGAGGAAGACCGAAGTTGACTTGGTTAGAGGCAACAAAAGGAGACTTCAAAGGATGAAATATACTCAAAGACTTAGCCTTAGATAGGAGTGCTTGGAAAACAACTATTCACCCAAAGACTTAGCCTTAGATAGAAGTGCTTGGAAAACAACTATTCACGTGCCTGAACTTTGATTGCTTTTGCTGGGTTTCAACTCTAGCCTACCCTAACTTGTTTGGGACTTAAAGGCTTTGTTGTTGTTGTTGTGGGTGGCAGGAGTTCTGCCTTTCAATTAAGGTAGGAAAGCAAGTTTGTGTACAGTGAGGCCAATGTTACACTGGCATTTAAGTAGATACAATCAGAATAGTATATAGATGCTCCAGATGCAAATTAAACCAGCATTTCTACAGTATCAATTTAAATACTTACTCTTGCAGTTTTTTGCGAAGCATGAACCTCAAGTAGTGATCTGTACCAAAAGGCCGGATACCCATATATTTGCACATATTTACCAAGCGTGGTCTGCACAAAAAATACCAAGCAACTGTTTAGTCACTGGTGTAACTTTGATAGCTTGATGATCAATTTATACAGGTAAGATAAAAGAACATTGAACCTGCTCATGTTATCCAAAGTAAGTTCATCATTGAAAAGCTTCGCAAAGCTCAAGATTTCGTCATTAGAGACACGTTCACCTCTCCTTACCTAAGCAAAATTTAGGTATGTTATCCAATCACAGAATAGCAAACGGCTGTTTACAATACATAACTAATTGTGGTAATGATTGGAGCATAGAAAGAATCTATACCTTGTTACAACAGATAACTAATTACAGTAATGATTGGAGCATAGAAAGAATATATACCTTGTTCAAAAACTCGTCCAGATCTTCAGCAGTCTGTTTTATGTCCCCACTACGTGATGTTTGAACTTCCTTTGCCATTTCTTTTGCTGTATCTTGCAAAAATTTTGCATATTCCATCCTTGCTTTTAGTTTCCTTTTCAATGCTTCCTGCACAGTAAAATGAATCATGTCCTTAAGCCAATCAGTTTGCACTATGATAATGTCTTCACTCTGTAGTCATGACACAAAATGGCACAGGAGACCCAGTTCAAACATGAGACGCAAAGATGACTATCTACAGCAACAAGAGCAACAGTAAGGAATGCTGTGCCATGGAACTAATACACTAATAACAAATGTGCAGCAGTGAGTTTGTGACATACAGAGTACTATTCGCATGACGAGAAATGTAACACCACCAAACCAGTATAATCCTTGGTTCTGAAACCAATCAAACACGTACCTCTTCTTTCATTTTGTCTTGGAAAGTTGATGGAAGCATGTTTGGAAATAACTTCAGGAACACTGGCAGTAAGAACTCCATGAAAGGAACAATGATGAACACAGCAAATGGTACCAGCCTGAAGATATCAGCTGTTGTGCGTGTCAGCTGTTGCCTCTCTCTTCTAGAAAGGCTTTTTCCACCGGCAAGTTTCACCAGCAATCTTGATGAGATTCTAACATCTGCCCATAGTAGCTTTGTCCCTAACCAGTAATGCTGCAGTGTAGAAACAAATTCATCCTTCCAATGCCTAAGCTTTGCAGCCCAATCAGCCCTTGACAAACAAAGAGGTAAAGTTTTGTAAGTTAAGAAAGAAACAGACCAATCATTCTTCTTATATGTACGCATTTAGGTACAAAGGAAGGAACTGAGACCTGCTCATTGAAGCCACAGCTCGCAGAGCAGGGCCAATACCCAGAAGCCTTGCCCAGAATTTCTGCATAACTGATTGGCTAGCCTTCGGAGATTCTTGGACCTGTTTAGCTTTGGCTTTAGCTTTTGCAGTACTTAGGCCTTCCACAGCCTGATCACATTCCTCTGGGGATGCCTCTTTTTTCTTTCTATTTTGCTTCTGATCCTCACTCTGTTCATCATCAATATCCAACTTAGGTTGCCCTGCAGTTGCAGTTGATGATGCACGAACTGACTGCAGAATAGATCTAGCTCCCAGCGGCAACCGGAAGTCATTCTTTCCAATTCCATAATATGAAAGAGATATCCCATGAGCTGGACGTCGCAGAAATCTATTAGCAAGACCTGCCAAATTCCTTTTAGTCAAATTCGCACTGTATTGCTCCTTCTCAGATCTTGAGTCTCCGGAGCTTTGCTCCAGAAACCGTAGTGCTATTCTTGGCTCAGCCTCAGAACCAATTCTTTCATGTTGGAAGGTAGAGGATGAAGATGAAAGGTTAAGTGTTTTAACATGATTGAAAAGATATTTCCTTCTCCTCGTGATTGCTCTTGAAGCCATACTTGATTGCTACTCAATCTCCAGATGGGAAAGCCAAGGTCATGCCTTTTAGGGTAGAATCCTGAAGTGGTCCAATTGTCCAAACATAAGCATAAGATTTGATTATTCCCATAAAGAAATAAAATAGTTGCAAAGAACAGGTGCTTGGTGCAATAAGACTTCACAACCATATATAACAACAATTTTCAAGGAATCCTAGGATGTTGTTCTAATGGAACCGAATGTTCAGTTCTCTTGAATTGCCTAAAAATATAATTATTCAAAAAACAAGAAACTAGCAACTAATTCATAGGAACCATTAGGCTAATTCACTAAAGCAATTAGTGTCCAAGCTTGGCATAGTTCATCCAATCATAGGCATTACAACAAATACGTTTGAAATTTGTTTTTTCCTTTTAACATGTGACCTCAGCATTTAGTTTTAGAAAATGTAAATTTTGAATCCCCAGCTGGACAAATATCTAGAGTCTTCTCTCAGATGCTGGTAAGAAGTTAAATAAGAATACCCTTGTTATTTGCCTCAACTGTCCAGATTTATCACTAGTAACTGTCATGGGTCAACTGTGAACTAATTCTGACACCATTGAGAGCACTTCCTCTAACAGTCCCTGAATATCAGTAACAGATGGACTAGAGATCAGTAGCTAACCATTCCAAGAAATCCTATTTCACGTTTACACGAGCCCCTCTACTTAGCCAAAGTTTCGTATGTTTTGCTGATCTCGTTGAGGAATCTGATGATTATCCACATATAAACAGAAAAAAAAACAGACTTTTATCATCAGCAGCAGTTCAACAGTTCCAGACTACAACAGGAAGGCACATATTAATCTAACCAGCCTAAGCGACTGAACAACAAAGGAACAGGTGAAGTACGGAAACAGTACCTAAAGGAAGGGGCAGCAACGAGACAACGACGCGTATCACTAGTAGGCCACCGTGGTTTGTACATTAAAAAAATTAAAAATTTACTCACTGAGATCAATTAGCGATTAAGCACAGTTTCAATTCGGTCCTTTTCGTTACCGCATAGACCCCAAAAATGCCCAAAACTCACCGATCGCCACTGAAATTTTCCCCCAAAAAGGGCCAAAATTAAAAATTACAAACAGCAGCATGCGGAGTCACTGATTGGCGATCCCACTGATCAAACCATCCCTGGTTCATCACCAAACCACCGACGCGACGGCGAGCGAACTCGACTCGCACCAAACAGAACCTAAAACATAATGCCAATGGGGAACAAAAAGTAATACGGGAAGCGGGGGAGAGAGAGAGCCAGAGAGGATCGCTTCCTGGAGCGAGACGGAGGGGGGCGCTCACCGGGCGAGGGGTGCGGCGCCGACCGGGCGGGCGAGTGGACTGGCACACCGACCTGCGCTGGGGTGGGGTTTAGGGCTTTGGAGGAGGGGAGGGGGAGGGAGAGGGAAAGGGAGAGGAGATGGAGGAGGCAGGTGAAGAAGCAGGCGTGAGAAGGAAGAACGAAAAGTAACAGGAGGAGCGTCCGCAAGCCGCCGCACATGTCTTGCAGTTCCAGATGGCCAACGGGCAACGGGGCCAGGTAAAGTCCTCTGCTGGAGTGGAAGCGCTGGTCTGCCGCTGCCTGCTGTGGCCTGTGGGATCGAACTATTCGTTGAACAGAAAGTTTATCTATATATACTGCCCTTGCAAGCTAATTAACCTGCATTTTTTGCGCATGATATTAGTGTTTCTTGGCTACCATTGCACGTATCTTTTTTTTAAAAAAAAATAGCAAATTATTTTCCTGTTACAAAATAATTACACATCTCATTTCTCGATTAGTCAAACTTTTTTCAAAATTTAACTGCTCCCTCTGTCCCAATAATTTGACCAAGTTTATAGAAAAATATAATAACAACTATAAAGCCAAATAAATATATTATAAAAAATATATTTAGTGTCATAAATATTGATGATAGTTTCTATAAATTTTTTTAAAACTTAAAATAGTTTAATAGTTTGATTTAGCACAACTCTAGAAGTTAACTTAATTTAGGATGGAGGTAGTAATATATAAAAAATAATAATATTTATTATGTGTAATAAATATTATTAGATTAATAGTTGAATATTTTTTATTAATAAAACTATGAAGATATATAAATGCCAATAATATTTTTTTATAAATCTAAGTTTAAAATAATGATTTCTGGGTAAATGAGATGTAGAATAATTTTAGAACGGATAGAGTACTGGAACTTTTGAAGTTGTTCTCGATCAAAGCAGTTCCAAACTTCTCAGTACTCCGTATTAAAATAAAAACACGTGAAGTGACTTTGAAAATTCACGAGGAATCGACACTCCTCGGCTCTGTTCGGCATGACTTATTGCTGCTGCGGCTGATTTGTAGGACTAATTTGTTGTGAGAGAAAAACACTGTATTATGACTGAAAAAGTAGAGCTAATTCTGGCTTATAAGCTCAGCGAAGAGAGCCCTCATTCCTCAGACATGGTCGTGCGTACCCCGTTCTTCTGACTTCCCATTGGCTGCCCTGGTCGGTGAGTCTGGCTCATCGTGACACTCGTGACGGCGAACATTTCTTCGCTTTGCGTGCTTCCCCTTCGTCGCTGCAGTATATTTCTCGGGACTCGGTACTGGTTCTCTTTCAGCACACCGTACACAAGCGACTGAGGCCTGTTCGTTTTTGCGGAAAAATCATGACTGAGAGTACTGTTCGTTAATTTATTATTAAAAAATATTATTTGTTCGTTAAAATGGTACGACTCGTAAGAACGAATATGCATAAGTCCTATAAGTCCAGGCATATTCCCTTTGCTTTTACTATCAACCTATCCCCAACGGCCCAACCCAACTACTCCACTGCACGCAAATTCGCACATGCTAGCTGCCAAAAAGGAAAGAAATCGTGCAGAATTTACAACGTTCACATGTCGTAGCTCGTAGGAGTTCAAAAGGAAGTGGCGAGTACTGAATGCTCAGAAAAGTAATAATCTGTTCACTGTTCCCGTTTGGATGAAGATAGCTCAAGAGAAATTGGGCCGGTGGCATAAGCCTAGATACAGTCATAGATGCTACAAACTGTGCTCTCCTATTGGACGCGTATAGAACCTGAACTGAACAGGAACGGCTTCTGTCTGTAACTCTGCACGTTTCTTCACTCGTGTAGTCGTGTTTACTCACATTTGCTGAAGGGAGGGGGCGAAATCTTGACGGCAGCCTCGCGGAACTTTACAACTATCTCTCTCCAGTTTGTTTCCTGTGTCAGATAAAACGAGGAGTATGATTCAGACCAACCCCCACGAGACAGATTTTTATGGCATAACAATGAGCTACGTTCATGTTCTGGAAAGCGCATCAGAATGGAGAAGCAATTGTAGGAAACGGGTAACACTTCAGAGAGGAATTGGACGGGGGGGATTGGCAACTGATGCTGCTCATATGATAAGATCAGCCAGAGATGTACCACGGAAGCTTGAAGGTGTCTCTCCAGCGACCCTGCTTAGCACAGCTCGCTTGTATCTTGTTCAGGCGCACAATTATCTCTGCGAATGTTGGCCTGACAGAAGGCGTCGGATCCCAGCACTCTTGTATCAGCCTGCAGCGTGCAACCATGATGAGCAGCAAAATGGCACGATGCTAAATGCAGCGTTACACCTATGTAAATATCCACTGTGAGTGATCATTAGCCTAGTATGTACTATGTGGTTGCACGTTGCTAGTGTGGTCGAGTTGGCAAGAGAACTTGATCGATCAAGTGAAGCAAAGCTCCTCAAGTAAGTAGAGCGTGTGATTCACTCACTCTTTCACATCACTGGGGTAGTATTTTGGTTTATTCTTGAATGTTGGTCTCAACCCCTCTAAACAAATCATCTTAGCTGCTTCCTCTTGTGGCTTTGGGTGAAAAGCAGGAGTTCCTTCAATCATCTGAACCAGAACCATCAATAGAACGGGCAAGCAGTGTAAACGTGAGAAGCTAAGAATTTCTGTTCATCTAAGTGACACATCAGCCAGGATGCAACACATGATTAGCCTAGATTCCTTGCATGTAGATTGGATAGCTTTGCGTACCTCATAAAGAATGAGACCAAATGCAAATACATCTACACTCCTGTCAAATGATTCGTTTTTGTAGACCTCGGGAGCGACGTATACATCTATGCACATTGAGGAAAGTATCAGCAAAGCTACAAGACAGAGTTGCCAAATAAACAGGGGGGGTTAAAAGGAACTCGGACACTAGCTAAAATAGTATTATATAGTAAAATAAGATTGGTGTCAAATTAATTCTAAAAGCAAATGAACACTACATCTGAAAAAGGAACTGACCAAACTCATGAACTTACATTTCGACGGCAAAGGCATAATAAAGAAAGAGGATTGTCTAGGAGGAGCATAACATGGATTGAACATTTGAACTATTTTTTCCTTCGAGATGGTGACGTCTAAGGTCCATTTATAAATCAAAGCTCTTCTTTAATAAGAAAAAAACATCTGAGTAAGTGCAACATACTGTCTAGTTTTGTAACTGGCTGAGCCATTTGTACTTTATCTTCAGAAACTTTAGTCAAACTCAGTGATCCAAACCCAGCCACCTTAAGCTGTCCTTCATCGTCCCGAACGATGTTTCTGCAACCTTACCAAAGTATCATAGCGTACAGCATACATGTAGCCACATATTTAAAAGTCTTGAACGAATTCAACGATGGAATAATGCTTAATGAGCTTACTTTGGTGACAAATGTCCGTGAATGATTGGCTCAGGCTTGCACTCATGGAGATAATTCAGTCCCCTGGACAAGAAGGGAAAAAATCCTGAACACTTTGTTCGGTTCAACTGTAGAGGTAGCAGAAACAAGCTTCATAGTGTTGTTTCAATTGTATCCAACTGAATCAATACAAAATTGCTATCTGAAAACACATATGTGTGTTACCACACCTAAAAGAACAGTCCTGCCATTCTGATCAATAAGCCAGGAAAGAGTATCTTTTTTCTATGTGAGTATAAAATAGTGTGCTA